TTATGACATTGATGTCACTTGAAATAATATTTCAATGAATTAAATTCTACTTAGTGAATTTTTCATTTTTTAGAAACTGGCTTTTATTGATAATAATGAAATTCATTGCCAGTAATACCAAAAATAAACCACATATGAGGAATAATTATCCAAGTAGGTTATAAATTAGGCAAAATGAGGAAAATGTTCTTCTCTAGATTAACCATTAGATATGTTTGTCTTCTTTGGTGAAAAGATATGGGTTTTCAAGGCAATGGAAAGAAAATCAGAGATTTCAGAATGCAGAGACTTAACTCTAACCAATCAAACATGTTAAACCTTAAAACTTCTGGAGAAAAAAAGACCTTATATTAGACCCTTAGAGGAAGTGAAGGTTATCAATACCATCACTTTATTTTTAAAGAAAATCTTGCTCAGAATAGCAGGGATGGAGAGGATGGGGTATTAAAAAGAAAATTAGATCAAGTTTACAGTAACTATTTTAATAAACTATAGAAGCATAATTTGTATATGAATAATTAAACAGCCAAGACATTTCAGATTATAAAGTCTTGCAACCTTTTTAGAAAAAGTTATAGAATAATGACATGATTTTGCTGTGAGTTCTCTTGTGTCAGTCTTTCTGCTGATTCTCTCAATGCCTGGTTATTACTTAATGGTTAAGGAAAGTAAGCTGTGACTTGGATTTATATTATATACCTTTTTCTTCTATTTAGCAAGTATTTTATTAGTCTACTGTGTGCTAGTCAGATACTCTTCTAGACACTAGAAAACAGTGATGAATAAAACAAATTTCAGGCCCCCATGGAATATACATTCTAAAGAAGGAATCAAGTAAAATAATAATAATAAATAAGGATTCCGGTTGTTTTCAGTGTTATTAGCCTGGTGGTGGTGGTAGGAGCAGTAGTGTGCCTATGGAATGCCTGACTGGGAGAGCGGCAGGAAATGACCTCATCTCCTGCTCCACGGGCTGTTGCTCATTCTGCTTTAGCCGCACTGGCCTGCTCACTGTTCCCTGAGCCGTGTCTATCACACAGCCCTGCCTTAAGGCTTTTGCACTGGCTGTTTCTTCTTCCTGGAAGACTATTTCCCCAGATATCTTCCTTCATCTCTTTTGTGTATCATCTTTCTGATGGGTAGTGAGGACTACCCTGGTTACCCCGTCTGGAATAACATCTCACATCTTCAACCCCCATTGCTGAATTCCCCTTACCCTGCTCTATATTTTTATCCCATAGCACATATCACCTCCAATCTATTGTACTATATAACTTAACCATTTTTACTTGGATGTCTCCTCCTAGTAGAATATAAACTACTACTCTGTAAAGTCAGGGACCTTAATCCGCATTGTTTGCTAGGTTAGTCCAAACACCTAGAACAGAACAGAGTAGGTACTCAATGCATATTTATCCAATGAGATGAGATCAGAGAGAATTGGGATCAAAGATGTGACATGCGATGAGTTTTTGTAGTCAATGGGTCGCTGTGTGGAGAGTAGTTTAAGGGGGTTCTGGGGTGCAGTAGGGACACCACTGAGGGAGCAAGTGCATTATGGTTAACAGGGGAAAGCGTGATGAGAGCGGTAGTGGTGGCGGGGGAGAGGCGGTAGGACCTGTCGCATATGCACATGGTATGCCATGATAAAGTTACAAGAAAATCGGGGGCTAGGTAATATGGCGACCCATTGTAATTACATCAGTAAATGGTGAAATGTCGCCCCCGCACCTCAGTCACGATTTAAGTAATAATAGAGTCTTTAACAGATATCATACCCACAGACGTAAAATTATTTGCAATCCTTAGACTAATAATTTAAAATAAAATATTACTGAAAAACTAAAAATAGAAAACATGTTTGTCTTTTCCATGAAAAATCTGTGAGAGAGATGAAAACACACTTTCAAAGAAAAAGCATATGACACATCACTTTTTCAAAGTGGTCTTTATGCTTTTTAATACAGTTGAAAGAGATTGGGTTTCTAAACAAATGTATGATTCTATTGTTAAAGCAACCGTCAAATAATGATGTGGCTCTCTTTACAAAGGACGTAAAAAATGTTTATATTGATTTCGGTATTAAGCACAGCAACACTGCCCTGCTGGAAGGGGGCTATCTAAGCTGAGCCAATAACAAAGAAGTCAGCAGGAACCACTTATCAACAACAAATGTCCTACCTCAGAGATATAGCAGAATCATATTTCTATCAACAGTTCTATCAACAGAACAAGTTCCTTAGAATGGAACTGCAGAACTAATTCAATTTACTCCAATATTAGACAAAATGCTAACAAGCTTCTCAGTATGGCTCATCAGTCTTTGGAATAGGAAAAGTAACAAAGTAGATGAAGAGATAGGTTAGTAGAGATAATCTCAGTGACCGTGGCATAAAAAGAGAAAGCCACAGTATTTGAGGGAAGCAAAATTACATTTATATGTATAATAAATTGAAAAACTAAAATTACTCAAAGCCCTAGCACTCTAGAGTTGTTTTGCCTCAAGCACTCTATAGGTTTTGAAAGTATTGCCACATAACGGTACAGGGCACTAATCAAGGCTCTTAACTAAGATCCAGACTTTTATAAAAAGATTCATTATGTTCAGTATTCTCAGTCATGAAAACAATGGAGTGTCTAATACATTTCAGAAACATTCCTTTAAGAAATGATTAAAGTTTTAATAGTCTTGAGACTGGAATACTTCCAACATTAGTTACATAGAAAATTTTGTTGATTTTAATAGTGCATTTCTAGAAGAAGCCAGATAAATGCATTTTTCTGGGTTGTAACCTTTAGAGTTTAAACTACACTTCCTCACAAAAAATGAAACTCTTTGAATACTGCACAGGCAGTTACGTGTACTGATGTTGCTGATTTAAAAAGAGAAGAAGAACCCTTGTGGAGATGCCAGGGAGCACACCTGGGGCTTCACAGGCAAAACGAGTGCTCTACCACGGAGCTACATAAAACATATATACACAACACGTAGACCCAAACAACAGTGTGGTGTTAGCCAGAGGGAAAGGGGTGACGGCTAGTGGAGGTGGACAAAGCAGGGGACATGGGGACAGAGAGACGGGTGCATGATACGGTGTGTCCCTGATGTTTTACTGAGGTGTGCACTTGAAACCTGTATGGTTTTGAAAACCAATGCCACCCCAACAAATTCAATTTAAGAAAAAGATCAGCAATAGGACTAGTTAATCAGTCTTTATTTTATTTTATTTTTTACTTGCATGTTTCCTTAAAGAACATTTTGGAAAACGATGTGAACTTTTGCATGTTTTTTACCTTATATCTAATTTTTTTCCTTGTGAATTTAACTACAAAGAGTGTAAAAATTCTGACATCTCATAAATACTGACATTTTAAAAGAAGGTTATTTTACTTGTTTAAATGTATCCAATAGATTCTAAATGAGATCTCTACTTGATATTCAAATATCCTTTAAAAAACATAAAAACTTCAACAGTTGGAAAATATTAAAAAATAAAAACAAAAATATTTATCTGGTGCTTACTACTTCTTAATGCAAGAAAAAACAAAAACAAAACAAAACACTCAGTCTCAAGAGGGTGAGCAGTCAGAGACTCTGAAAATTGCAGATAAAACCGTGCTGCTCACTGTGGGAAGCATTGTAGGCTCAGTGGCCTGCTACTTTAGGCCCTGCAAAAATATTGGCTCGAATCCAGCCTTACGCTCTGTAATTAGAAATAACATTGCTGTTCTTAGTCTCCAGCCAAGCCACCGTATGCCTGTGGTCTGTTTTATGAGATTCTCATTGTGAGTTGCACTGTGATCGCTCATTTAAGACACTATGGTAGTTCATATAGACCTCTGTTGATTCTCACACAGGCACTAGATAAAGACTGACAGTAACTTTCAGCTAACTAGTCTCATTTCTTTAAGGAGCACCTTTAGACTACTGCATACAGGGCATTTCCATAAAAATACCCAAATAATAAGTATCTTTTAAAGTATAAAATATGACAGACATTGATTCTTTAGTCAGGGTTGGGGGGATTCCAGGAAGGCCATTTAGGGTCTTCAGCGGGCTCATGAGCCCACTGAAGTTATATGTCAAACTGCATGTGTACCCATTTCTCCAGACAAAGAATCCAATGCTTTCATTGCATTTTTTAAATATCTATGACCTTCTCCTCCAAAACAATTTCTTAAAGACATCACTGTTTTCAACGACAATACAAATATTAAAAAAATGTTCAGCATGTTTCCCATCCACTTTCAAGGACAATAGAGTCCACACATCTCAGCACTTCTCTTTCTTTGACTCATCTTCTAGTTAAATATTATCCAGATGGCCTAGGCCTTAAATTCAGTTTAGCACAAAGGATAAATTACAGGCTTTGGAAACAGACTTTGTGGATGAAAATCCGGACTCAGCCACTAACTAGTTAGGTGACCAAGTAAATTAATTAATCTCTCAGAGCCTCAGTTTCCTTGCCTGAAAAATTGGACCAATCCTAGTACCTGCCTCCTAGGGAAGAAGTGAAGGTTGAAGAGACCATGCAGGTGAAGTGCTTAGCCCAGCTCCAGATCTTGACCCTGACTTTCTTTACAGGAAAATTATATCACATTTTAAACTTTCCTCTATTAATCATTATCAATATTCAAATCTTAGGCACCTGTATTGTGCCGCTTTATGTCTGAATTCATTGTTTGGCTATAATTTCTACATGTGGACATTTTCACATTGCCATGTTTTTTGTTTGTTTTTACCCCTGTGACTAAAGGAACAAATCTAAGCTATTGATTAACGCACAGTAAACCCAGTAAAATATTACATCAGTTTTTTTAAGCTATAGTATAAAATAGAAAAATATTTTTGAATAAACATAAATAAGCGCCCTGAGTTTGTATTCCAAGGAAATATAAAATGCATATAATTGGATGGGCTATTTCTCCTTCCTTACAAGGATAAAAACCTGTAAGAAAGTTAACAAATTTGTTTGAAATGTTGTTCTTTTTTTCCACAGCTCTTGTAGTGAGATTTCTGACCAAACGGTTCATCTGGGAATATGATCCCACTCTCGGTAGGTCAAATTTTCTTTCCTCCTACTCTCCAAAGTTTGTAACTCAAAAGAGACAGTGACATTCTCTGTTGCAACATTTTTAAGCACCTTGCAAATGTCTTGGAAGCACTTTATTGAATCACACAAAGACTTCCCCTAAGAAGCTAGATGTGTTGAATGGGTTTTACTGCATGGATGACGAAATCAGGTCAAACCAGAGACAAGAAGGAAGTAGGTAGAAATGATGCTTTTTCACTAAGGAATGCGGCAACATTGCAATGGTAGACAGATGATGCAGTGGACATGGCTGGTTTGATGTGGGATGAAATGGTATGCTGAGGAGAGTATAACAGTAAAATAAAAATTGTGAATCCTGATTTGGAGAAAACATATAAATAAATTGCGTTCCTTTCTCTCTTATCTCCAAGGAATCTGTCTTAAGCCTATGTAAAAAGTACAAAAGAAGAAGCAAACAAATGGTATACGTATTTTGAAAATTGCAATAATGTTGATATGTGAAGTATTTATCACATGTATTTTTCAGAGTCCAAACAAAGTATTTATTAGAAATATATTTAGTTGTCTCCAAAATAATGCAAAAAAAAATCCATGGGCTCTAAGTTAAGCTTCAGATTTTACTTTGAATGAAGACTTTGAGCTTTTGTTTGCTATGCTTCAGGACCACAGTTGGTATCCTAAAGGGCAACAGCTCTGAAATGCAGAAGAGGAGGGAGGGATATACATTGTTTCACTCTCAGGCACCGTGTCCCAGGACAAGCTGGCCTGACTCAGGATGCCGAAATGGGCAGAGATGGTTCCTGGGCGGCTTTGTTTGGGGGCTGTTTTGTTTTTGTTTTTTGGTTGTTACATATGGTCGGTTGAAAAGGGAAGTTTTCCCCCTTTTGCCTTCCTCCATTGCTTTAGTCATTCATTCAACAAATGTTTGTTGAATCCCATATGTGTCAGATTATTCTAGCTGCTGAGGATAAATGAATGGACAGAGAAAGCCTCTGGGTTTGTTTGTTTGTTTGTTTGTTTCAGCTATTATCTAGTAAAGAAAGAAGAGTTAGTAAACAAATAAATGTATATCAATAGTGATAAGTACTATGAAGGAAAATCGAACAGTTAAGGGGACAGAATGATTTTATGTTTATTTAACTTTAACATTTTAATCTATATGGAACATATTTTAGTGAGAAGTACAAGGTGAAGACCTAACATTTTTTCCAAATAGTTGACCAATTATTCTCCTATTATTTACTACATAGTCCCCACCTTTCCCAGCTGCTCCCAATGCTGCCTTTTATACAGTCAGCCCTCCTTGGTATTCACGAGGGGTTGGTTCTCCTCTGTAAAATAATGGAGTATTTGCATATAACCTACACACATCCTCCCACATAGACTTTATCTCTAGATTACTTATAATACTAATACAATGTAAGTGGTTGTTACACGATATTTTATAGGAAATAATGACAAGAAAAAAAGCTGTATGTGTTCAGTACAGAAGCAACCTTCGTAGGCCTAACTACATAGTACATGTCAGCAACACAAAACTTTTTTCCCAAGTATTTTTGATTTGTAGTTGGTTGAATCCATGGGTGTAGAACCTGCAGATACAGGTATATTCAATCATTTACATCAGGATGCAGTTCTAGATCTGTTTGTCATATCCCACACCAGTAGCAGGCCCTTGATAATTGTGTGCTCTTTAGAACACATTGATACCCAGTAGAGAAAGTCTTCCTTCTTTACATTTTTACAAAATAAGCTTGGCTACAATCACCAGCTTATTCTTCCAGGTCAATTTTTAAAACTATATCATAACATGATATAATTTTGATTGAAATCACATTAAAACTATAAATTACTTTGAGAAAATTCACATTTTTATGATATTCAATCTTTTAAGAGGTTACACCTCTCTGTTTTTGCTTTTAAGTAAATTGTTTTTCCACATCAATTGTTTTTAACTGGTTTTTAATATAGCCAGAATCTAATTGTAAGATGATGTATTTGGATCTAAAAATGTATTAGATTTTTAAAAAATCAATCATTATCTATTGCTTGTTCCACCAAAGTAAATATTTAGTCTTCTCTTATACTTCTATTACCTAGATACTTTTTTTACAAAGTTCCTGAGACTCCTAATGATTTATGGGAGTTCAGTAAAAAAAAACCAAACTAATTTTATTTAGTTATACCTGTACATCTCAACAGAAGATGAAACTTATAAAAATGATCTCATAAAAATTTGTAACTCTTTCTGAGTATGTTCCAGAACTAACATTACTATTTTTAACATCTTGGGTGAAGCATTTTTCCTTTTGTTTTTGCTTTATTCATTTTGAAAAACAACTGCTATTAATAGGATTCTGCCTGCGTCAGTTATCTGTAACGCAGGCTTCCTTCACTAAGCATAATGAAACTTTATTGAGTGACCTTGTACTGTACTGCTCTAAAAGGACTGCAGCTGCTAAGCAACAAGAGCGTTGATCAGACTTCAGGAATATCAAATCTATGACTCACTCCCAGGTGAGGGTTTCATTTACTCATGCTGGAAAGTGGATTTGTGTGCGCACATGTATGAGTCACTGATGTTCTAACCTAGAGGAGTTCCCAGCCCATTGGATCCAAGAGCAGTCAGCATTTCCTGGGCTAAACTTCATACCATTATAGAGTTTCAAACCCACCACGGAAAGAGAAGGTTACATTAAAAAGCAAAGATGGGTACTTAAATGATCAGGGGAATCACTTTAAAAATTATGTAATTGTCTAACCACTATGCTGTATACCTAAAACTAATATAGAGTAATATGGAATGTCAACTTTAATTGAAAAATAAAATTTTCAAAGAGCAAGGTGAAATATTTGCAAAAAAAATAGTTTTGAATTCTGAATTCAGTGCCATCCTTAGAAATATGGGGCAGCCTTTTCCAGCCTATAACACACTTATTTAATGCTCCATGAAAAACTGAAAACCATAAACACCATTCAACATATTAACAAAAACTGGACTATTTACTGCTCTGAAATAATTCTATAAAGGAAATGTTTTCTACTATAGTAGCAAGTGATTTCCAAACTTTTAGGTTTCAAGAACCAATGATTTTGTTTTTGTTTTTGCTTTTGTTCTGGTGCTTGTCTGTGTGTTTTTAATGGAGAGGGAAAGCATAGGAACTACAATTAGGAATGTAAGCAAAGGGCAGAGGGTAAGGAAGAACTAAACTTACTTCCCATATAGGCATTTGCATTTCATAAAAGAAGGAAATATTTTTAGCATCAGGAGCTCTGAAGAATATAATAATCTAAGAAAAATGTTCAATTACTTATTTGCATTGAACATTTATATTTTCCTTGAATTCCCTCTTTCACTCTGGCTCAGTGAAATCTTTGTCAGAGGTCAGACCTGGCCTACATGCATAGCATTTGAAAATCACCACTGTAGCCTACAAGATTTTGGACTTAGATCATCTAAGCAGGAAAACCTCTCGATGGTGGAAGCAACAATGTTCTGGTTGCAAAACAATAGGATCCATGTTCTGCTTAGGTCCCAAAAGAGAAGTGAATCTCTCTGAGAGTCATATTACATTCTGAAAATGCTGAACATGGCAGAGAATACAGACAAAAGCTTGGACAATGTGCCATTGTTTGTATGTGTGTGTTGGGGGCATTTAGAGGGAAAGATTGCATTTCAGCACCGACCGCTACTTCTGCCCCACAGAGGCGTCCTGCTCTTTACGCGAACGGATCATGGTGTCTGTCTGCTTAGTAAAGACTCAAATGAGAATAAGGGTAGAAGCTGGGAGACATACTGGACCCCATGGTGACTTTTATTCTGTGACTGGTTCTCCCTGACTGCATTCCATACAGTTCGCTTTGCTTGGAAAGGCTCATATACAAAGAGAGGGACAAGCCCAGAACAAATCTCTGGACTGAATACTAACACTGAAGTACTTAACCAATGCAAAGAACTATTGGATAGTTCTTTAATATTGGCACTTTTAATTTTGGCACTTTTAATTTTGGCACAGAGAGGAACTTTGAGATCAGCATTTGGCATAAGAAAACAAGTCTAACCAAGAAAATTTATCCACAATTATGTGGCTAGTTTGTGGTTAGACCAGCAATAGAACTCAAGTCAGTACAATTTCCACTCTAGCACAAATCAACATTACTAGCTGTTGCTGTTACTGTATTTGCCAATTGTCCATATTAATATGTTAAAATTTACCAAAAAAGATAAATTCTTGAAAAGATTAACCATATACAACATCCCTTTGAGCATCAATTTCTCTTAGAGTATACAAAATATACTTCTACTTATAAAAATGTTATTGAATATAGGTTTTAAATGATGTGTATCTCTCATATACCATGCGATCCAGACATAATTTTAATATGCTTAATTCCATATTCAAACTAATGTTTTTCTTATACTATGTAACATTTTGGCTCCTTCAGAAATACCTCTTAAACAATCATCCTCCTGCCCTTCATAATACTCCAGGTGACTGTATTCTGTTAGTATGAGCACAATGAAAATTTCTGCTCTCCAAGCACACAGACATTTTCTTTAACGTTCTAAAATGAATAGTAGAGGTTAGTTCCCCAAAGTGCCGAATACATTTTTTAGAACTATCTTTAGCTAGCACAAAGATGTACAACTTTTGGCCTCTCTGGGCAACACTTCACTGTTTTACATGTAGTCAGGGGGTTCCCTATGGAGGAGAGAAGAGACTTGAACAATGCTCAAAATGGCGTGAAACCGGTCCTCAGCTTAGATGAAAGACTGCTGGCACCCGCGGCGCCGTCGGTGGCAGACATTCCCTCATTTCCTGCATGTCATCGTGTTCGTTTCAGTTAACAAATGGCCCAAGAATCACACAGCTTCACACAATTTTCATTATATTCTATGTCCCCCTACTGCGGTCTTCTGTGGTTGAAATACATATCCTATTTATTGTGGAAGCAGCAGAGGAAAATGTCCCTATCTGTCAGACTTTTGGTGCAAAGAGATGGCATAGAGCCCAGAGCTGTTCTCCAGGCTCCAGAGCTGATGCCAGTCCTTTTAAAAGGGAAGGCAGCACAAAGGTCGCTACAGATGGCGGCGGAGGAAACCGAGAGGGCGTGGATTCTCGCCCGTGCGCAGCCCTCGGGGCCTCTCCTCCGCAGGCTGAAACTCTGAAGATGAAAAAGGAAATAAATAGATGAATCATTGCTGCAAATGGTATTTTAGAGCATTGACTCATACAGAAGAATAATCTCCCATTGAACTTAGGGCAGGGGCATGGAATGTTCTAGAATTGAGAATCAGGCATGCCATGTATGGATCACATATTCTAGGGGAATGACAACAATGTAAAAAACATTTCTTAAAATATATTGAACATGAGTTCACGTTTACATTTTATTTTTCAGGAAATACATCAGCAGCGTGCCTTGCCTGTGACAATTATCACTGCGCAGGGCTGATGGCAGGCTACGCCGCTCAGTTAAGCTCCTTTCTGCAACGAGTGTTTTGAGTAAATATATTTCCAGCAAAGTAACATAAAACTGTATTCGAAAACGAACTGTAAGACAGTCGATGATAGGAAGAAATGAATGTCAGAAACGTGAGATAAATGGGGAAAACACTTAAAGCACTGGCTGAACGGCTACCCTGGGGAGACAGAACTTGCAGGTTTATTTGGTTTGTTGATTGGTTAGTGATTTGGGTAGGTTAGATGCAAATAGTTGAGGTAATTAAATTAATACTTAAATTAATCATGCTGCTCTGGTCCTGACACTGTGTCATATGTATGTGAAGCCTTTATTTCACTTTATTTTTCTCATATCCCCTATTCTGACACCATTGCCCTCCTCTTTCCCGCCGGTATAAGCCCTAATATGTTTGAAATTTAGCAGAGTGCTTAAAAGCCTAAATTATTAAAACCAGTCTTCCTGAGTTCAAATCTCATCTCTACCACTTATCATTGTGTGACCTTCACCAAGTTATTTAATGCTGTTGTGCTTCCGTTTCCTCATTTAAAATGGATCTAATGGTAATACATATTTTATGAGATATTTGTAAGAATTAAATAAGGAAATATGAATAAAGCATTTAGAACAATTCTTGTTCAAATGGTAAGCAGTATGTGCTAACTTTTATTTTTGAAGGAAGTATTTTTTTGTGTATGCATACATTTTAAGTTTATATAAATTTTATCTCACTATAAGTTTACCTATAGAGGTAATTATGTTTTTCCATTTAGCCCTTTAATGTGTTAAATTGCATTGATAGATTTTAAACATTCTGCATTCCTAAAATAAACTATAATTGATCATGTTGTAGTTTTCTTATTACAACTGTTGCATTCGACTAATATTTTATTTAGAATTTTTGAATATATGTTTAAGAATGAAATGAGCCTACAATTTTCTTTTTTGTCTTAATACTCTTATAATACTTCTTATGAGAGTCAACATAATGTCCCATGAAAGGAATAGGGTAGCTGTCCTTTTTTTTATTTTCTAGAATGTGTTTAATGTTTACTAGGAATCTCTTATAAAGCCAACTGGCTGCAATCACTTTTTATGATTAGGAGAGATCTCCAATTAGTATTGAAATATATTTACTGACTCTGATCTAGTTAAGTGTTCTATTTCTTATTGCTACAATTTATGCATTTTTTTCCTCCTAGAATTTATCAGGTTTTGGCATTTGTTGGTATGGAATTCATAATACTATTTTATTTCATTTTATTTCATCAGAATATGTAGCTATTTCCTCTTTCTGTGCTAAATTTTGTGTGATCACATCCTCTCTCTTAACTTATCAGATAGCATTGCCAGAGTTTTACCTCTCTTCCTCTCTCTCTTATTTTTTTTTAAATTTTTTCAAACACAATTCTTTGGTTTTGCTAAAATGATCTTTTCCCCTCTGTTTTCTCTTTTTCTTCTGTTCTTAAATTTATTCTGCTTTCCTCTTCTCATTCGTTGAATACTCTGTCTTTTCCTGTCCTTTCTTTTTATCATCTCATCTTCGAGAATAAGACAAGTACATTGAAACCTGCTTCTGGTCTCTTCCCCCACCTCCTCACTGATGTATTGGTATTACCTAGAATTGTATTCTGAATGGGTTTTGATGCAGTTTTACTGCTTTGCTTCACTCTGCTGGGATCTTGAATTCAGTTTTGTTGGTGAGAAATCCAGTATCAATCTGAGTCATGCCATTTTGTAGGTGATGCATTTTTTAAATCTATTTCCTTTTAAATTTTCCCCTTTGTCATTAATATCCTTACATGATGCTGCAATGGGTGGAGATGCAGGACTTCTTTCCTTGTGTATCCTATTAGTCCTTTTGTTCTGCAATTTTTCAGTACCTCTCATTTTGGGAAACTCTCAGTTATTACAACCTCATACGTTTTCCTCCCTCTATGTACTTGATTCTCTCTTTGAGGCTCATTTTATAAGAGAAAATAACATGGCCATTTATTTTATCTATATCTCTTATATTTTGCTTTTACAATTTTCTTCTTATCATTTACTGATATCTTCTGGGAGAGTTCCTCATCCTGACCTTCATCAACTCAGTCAGGCATTTGTTGAGTTCATTTCAACTGTTCTAATTTTCTTATAGAGGAACACCAGCTGGCATTTATTTTAACCTCTGGTTTCCATTTCATGTCATGAGGGGCACATTCAGAGCCACCCCAAACTTCTGCACTTGCTCACTTCTTCCTGCAGTAGAGCTTGGAGCCACTCTCCAGCTGGTGCTGAGCTGCCATCATTTTCTACCTTGAAGTGGCAACATGAGCAAGAAAACTCTGCTCTGTTCCCTCTCCCTCTATGCTGCCCAGCCCTCCCCTGCTGTCCTCACCAGTTCCCAGACACCGGGGTCCCGCCACTTCCTACTGTCACAAGGGTTTCTCATAGCTTTACATGGTCTTTTTTTACATGGATAACTATAATCACCTTCTTCTAGTTACATTTCTAGAGTTGGGGTCTAGAAAGAAATTAGCAACTCCTGCTTATATGTCATCTTGTCAGGAACAGTAATTAACAGTGATTTCTAAAAACTGGATTTTTAGTATCAAAGTAAGATATATTTTGTAGGAATAATTTCTCATTTGAGGATGCGGAATCCTCATTTTAGGAGGAAGAGAGCCTCAGGAAGCTGGCCTCATAGGAGAAGAAAATGAGCAAAGAGATTTGCAGATGCTATACCCTGGGAGCCTGTTACCTGTCACTTCCCAGAGCTCTGAGAATACAAAGATGGCACATCCTTGCGCATCCATCCTTCCCTTCCTAGTGTGCACACTCCCTTATGCTGTACAGCAGACCTACTCCTGTGACTAATTTGTAATTTTAAGGATCAACTCAAACCATGATCTTATTTACCTTTTTATCTTCTTTTTTTGCTCATTCCCTCAGAATCAACCTACCGCCACCAGGCAACCATCGACGATGAAGTTGTCACCATGGAGATACTAGACACTGCTGGTCAGGTGATTAAGGAGTTTGGCTAAAATATTTTCTTGAACAAAAAAGAATGAGATGTGCATAATATGAACAAAAGACACTTTCCTACAATTAACTCATGATGTGTAAAGGCTTTTTTTCTTTAATTATCTAAGTATTTATACGTTAATATGTTTGCAAGAGCCTGTGGATGCACCCTCCTGTAAATTACCCAGTACTTCAAGGAGGTTTTGAAAATACCATAATATTCACATTGCCCACCTACATTTGGGGGGGTATTGTAAGATATTCGTTGATTTTAATGGTTAAAAGTGTTGTTGAAATGCTCCGATCAAGTTAAACAGGTATCTTTACTAAGGAAGTTCTCAGAACCTTTATTATGCTTATGTGTAAGGTGAATCCTTCTGGGATTTAGTATATATTATATTCCAAACTTATATGGCCTCAGAATCTTTTTTTAGAATATATTATTTTAGGAATCTCTCCTGTAATATTCTTTCTAGACCTCACCACATCCTATTGAAAATTTGAGCCATATCATTGAACAATGACAATTTATTTAAAAAGGAAAATAATATAAATTTCTTTGAAGTCAGTCAGTTCTGAGGTGACAAACAGGATCATAGGTAGGTTTAGTTCCCAAAGATAGGAATGACTGCTAGGAATGAAAATTAGGATGCTGATGGATTCCACGGTGCTTATCAGTGACCTACGGCCCCAAAAAGACTTGACTTAAAGTCTTTAATCCAAGAAATATTCTTGCAATTAATTATACACTTTTCCTTCTCACTATCACCTTTTTTCTATATACAATGTCCCCTTCTACCCAGAATGGTTCTAGAGAGAGGCAGCAGGGAAATACATGCCTGCAGAAATCAGTGGAGCCTGTGAGCAATGTGGTTCCAAATCACACAGGCACCTTCCTAGGAAGGAGTGGTCACTCCCTTTGAAAATCACTTCAGATGAGTTTCTGTCACTACTATGACTGCAGAATATTTGGGGGGTTTGAGATGGTGGGGGCGGGGGGGCAAATGCCCCTGGCTGTTTGACTCTCTATACAATTATTCAGTATTTTTGCCCCTGTAGCTAACTGTCCATAATCTGAAGAATGAAGAGATAAAATAAAAAACAAACAAAATCAAAACCATTTCACTATGCTGTGCCTCTAATTCTGGTCTCTGAGGGGTGAGGTAAGGTCTATTTGTTACCTGTTTGTTAATGCTTTAATTGTGATGAAGTCTCTGAGCCAATGTGCTCAACTAAGATGATGCTTTCTTTACAGTCCCCGTGATTAAAGATTTAATGATGTGGCATGCAAAATTAGAAGCAGAAAGTTAAGGTCTATGCATATAGAAAATTTTTAGCTCCCTGAAATACCTTGCTGTGAGTAAGTAATGCTTCTATTCCAAGCTGACTGAGAGGCAAAGCTTGTACAGGCAGAATATCAAGAAATTTTAATGACACTGGCTAGCAGGAATAGTAATTAAGGGATCACTATTAACATCAACAGCATCTGCACAGTGGGATTATTTCCAGGTTTCCTAACTGCTCTTTTTTTTCTTGCCATCAGGAAGACACCATTCAGAGGGAAGGACACATGCGGTGGGGGGAAGGCTTTGTGCTGGTCTATGACATTACTGACCGAGGAAGTTTTGAGGAAATGCTGCCACTTAAAAACATTCTGGATGAGATCAAAAAGCCCAAGAATGTGACTCTCATCTTGGTTGGAAACAAAGCTGACTTGGACCACTCCAGACAGGTCAGTACAGAAGAAGGGGAGAAGCTGGCCACAGAACTGGCCTGTGCTTTTTATGAGTGTTCTGCCTGTACTGGAGAAGGGAACATCACGGAGATATTCTACGAGCTGTGTCGAGAGGTACGTCGCCGGAGGATGGTCCAGGGCAAGACAAGGCGACGCAGCTCCACCACGCACGTCAAGCAAGCCATTAACAAGATGCTCACCAAAATCAGTAGTTAGGCGGTTCCATTCTTGCAAAGGCCCTGCTGAGGCGGGTTGGGTGATTGGAAACACTTTCTTGCCCTTTTCCCTTTTTTTCTCCCTCTCCCCCCTCCCACTAATAAAAGAAATACTCCATTCCTTGTTCTGACTCTGGGAAATGTCTGGGCTTCCCCTTGTTCCCAGCCTCTTGTATGTTGAGAAGTTACAGTGTTTTATGCAATACAGTGCTGACAATTACTCCCTTTGCTGCTTGAATAAAATGTGCTTTATTGCAGTTTGAACATGTAATCACCAGAGATTCTGAAATAGCTGGGTTCATATTAAGCTATTTTTAGGCATCTTCACTTTGCTTCAGTAGGTTGAATTCTTTTCAAAGGCACTTTCAAATTTCATTTTTCATCAAAGTCTACAAATGATCACCTTAAAAGTCTAACATAGTAGGAAAGACAGTAAAAATGCAGGAACAGTAGCTGAAATATTGGAGTGGGGAACAGATCTTTCTGAATTATGGTAAATTATCTAGTTTTTCTTTAACCCCTATTTTGTTCTTAAATGAAAACCATGTTCTCAAAAAGTTTTCCATTGTGTAATAAAGAGTTCCATTTCAATCTGAGTTGATTCTCTCAGTGATCTATTGATCATCACACCCTAATTCTTCTTCTGTAGCTCCAACAATATTTCATTATAAAGAGGCAGCAGGACCCCTCAGTTCAGATCCTGCTCATCCCTTTCTCAACAAACCCAGGGTGAGGTAAAGACACTAGACATATTTTCATCAAACCCTGGACTTTATTGAAGCCTAATGGAGGATTTGGAATGGAGGTGTCTGCTCCATTTCTCTCTCTGCTTACCACCCTAACAGAAAGGCCGCAATCCAAAAAGCAGGACAATCAAAAATGAAGCTGAACTGCTGCTCCGTTGAGGAGCCAAAGGAAAGGAGCCTCTCATTCATTAAGTTAGTTACATGACATCTAATACAGAGTGCAGCAAAAGCAGGTTTATAGCTGTTCGTATGGGAAGTAATACAATAATTAATAAATAATAATACAAGAATAAACTGTTTCACATACTCATAAGTGTTAACCTACTTTTGCCCCACCATGTATTTTGGATAAATTTATTTACTTAGGGGAATTCAGAAAAAAATGGATGGTTAAAGTTCAGTATACCCAAATAAATATGTATAAAACAGATTCTTATATTGTGAAAATACAGTCTATAACTGATAAAACTTTGCGATTCTTTTTCCTTATTATGCCCCTATCTATCAAGATTTGGGCACTTTATTTTAGAAGAAAGTATATTTCTTTTACATATTTGTGTATTTATAAATGCATAGATATATGTATAAAAATTTCTAAGAATTGGAGGCTTTAATTCACCAATGCATTTGGACAACTTGGTGTAACTATTTTATGTGAATATAATAAAAAGCATAATTTTCACGTTCTCTCACGTTAGGGCAATCTTTCTTGTGATGACACAAAATGTTTATAATCTTAAGAGACACTTGAAGGGACAATCGAATTGTAGAGTTTACATGACAGTGAATGTTATGTAAGAAGAAATAAGCTTCGGTTCATAATAATAGCTCCTGGTTTTGAGGTGCTTAGGTGTGTCTTAGGTACTGTCTGTATTATTTCATCAAATCTTTACAATAATCTCATAGAAGAAATAGTACTTTGATTACAATTGCAGGGATGAAGATACGGAGCCACAAGAAAAAAACAAGTTTTCATAGCTATTTAGAGGATAGAGCCAGGATTTAATCCAGAGAGGCAAAGTCAGATCCTGGAGCCCATTGTGATATTTATGAAATATTAATAAACTAAGATATGACTCTTGTTCTTGAGCTGTAAAGATGAAGACACAAGAAGGAGAAAATTTAGGAAAGACTTGCTTCATTTATGCTTTTATTCATTCATTAACAAATATTTATATATAAGTTGAACATATAACTTGACACAAATTAGTGCATTTGATTGTGTCAGAGATGAACCTTGAAGAATATATAGAAATTAATCAGGAAAACTAGATAGTGAAAATATTCTAGGCAAAAGGAAGTGTATGAAACTAAAATATGGAGATACAAAAGGTGACGGTAAGTATAGTAATTAAAAGCAGTTTACAGAGCCACATATATCAGTTTTCAGGATAAACAGGAAGGAAGAGGGAAAAAAATAAATGATTTGGAACAAGAAAAAGGCAAAAAAAATCATAAAACTGCAAGTTTAAATGTATATTAAAAGCCCTAATAGCTGACTTAGATATGATTAACCTGCAGTTACATCCATTTAGACAGGGTAGGGCAAATGAAAGCAGGGTAAAATTATTTTTTTTAATGTTGCCATCTTCTAGAATTATAGCCTATGTCATACTCATATAACTACTTGGGGATGAAGCTCAGCCAGTTCTTATTAAGAGCAAGCTCCTAGGGAGACATAGTGAAATATCTGGGTGCCATCTTGGGCCAAACACTAAGGAAGTGAAATTCATAGTCCCCAACACCAGCAACTTCTCTAGACATATGCATACAAACCCAGGCCTGTTAAAAAAGCATAGAAACACTGGCTTCAGTCCCAGCTGGTAATTACACGAGAACATGAGATTGCACAAATATAAATTACTTATTCCTCTTATGCCCCAGGCTTTTCCACAAATGAAGTCTAGAAACAGTTGTGGTTTTTAAAATAGTATTTTAATGATGGAAACTTGTGCGTTCTTGAACATGGCTTGTTATCACCACGCTACCACTACCAGTGTTTGCTGTTTGTATTGCTTTCCTTTTCTTTTAAGATTCGAAAGACTTTACTCCTAAATATTGTGTTTGTACTCATATGCCTCACAGCACTGAGGGAAGAAGCCTAACATTCAGGACCTTCCTTTTAAGTAACATGTAATACTTACATGTATGTAAATAAATACAGCATCTTTGATTCTAAGTATAATACCAACAAATCTTTCTCATTAAAACAGCCTATGCTCACTTCAAGAATAATAAAAACGTATCCAGTTCATTGGGTTAAAACTAATCAGTCAAGTTGAATTCAGTTGTCTTGAGCGAATAACCTACTGGAAGATTCTGAGGGGGAAAAAATGACAAATTTTTTTCTCCATAGTTTTGAAATGCTACATATAGCAAATTTTATATTCCCATATATATGGTTCTATTTTAATGTTAAACTACCTGTTTTTAAATTCTTATTATAAAGCTACATTCATTAAAATAGAATGTTGTTAGTGAAAAGACATACAGGTCTATGGAATAGAATGGAAAGACCGAAAGCAGAACCACAGTTATATGGTTGATTGATTTTTGACAAAAGCACCAAGAAAACTCAGGTGGAATAGAACATTCTTTTTGAAAATTAATGCTGGAATAATTTCATATACATCCACAATATAAACAAATATCAACCTATACTTTATGTAATATACAAAAATTAAATTCTAAATGTATCATTGACCTAAATATAAGAGCTAAAATTTAAAAAGTTCCATAGCAGGAGAAAAGCTTTATTATCCTTGAGTTAGGCAAGGATCTCTTAGAACACAATAAGCACAAATAAAAGCAAAGTTAAAAATTTATCTTTTAATAGGCTAAGAAAATGCAACAGCAAGCCAGGCTGGGAGAAAAATATGTGGAAAATACATATCTCACCAAAAATGTATATTCAGAATATATAAAGAACTCTCAGAACTCAACAAGATACATAATATAGTTAAAATATTGGGCAAAAGTTTTGAGTAGATAATTAACAAAAAAGATATATATATCTTTTCATGATATATATATGGCAAGTGATTTCATGAAAGAACAGTTTTCTATTTTAAATTTATTAGACTATTAATTGCCTAAATTTAAGTTATTGAAATTAAAAAGATTCACATTTATAATAAAAAAGAAACATGGAGTTCATTTTAGTATGTTCTATTTAACCCAATGTATTTAAAATATTATCATTGCATCATATAGACAATACAAAAATCATTAATTCATGAGATATTTCACAATTTTTTCTACTAAGCCTTTGAAATGTAATGTGTACTTTACATTTACAGTGCATCTCAATTTTGATCAAACATATTTCAAGAGGTCAATAGCCACGTATCGCTAGCAGCTACTCCATTAAATAGCAGCTTTAAAATAGTTTAACATCTTTTGAGTCTTAATTCTCCTTTATTTTGAACAAATCCAGCCACTAAAACATTGAATTTAGAATCCTGAATTTTAGATGTTAATGTGTCCTTAGAAATCACCTAATACATTCCTCTCAATTCTGTAACAAAGTAATGAAATAGCAATGACATTGGAATGCAGGTCTTTTGATGGCTAAGTTACATTCTCCTGGCCCCTGATATACTATACTATTTTAAAATTAAAACATTAGGATTGAACTTATAAAAAGAATTGTTAGCTTTACCTTTAAAAACAATCATTACAAAATTTCCCTTAAAAATTATCCCCCTCATATTTATCCAAAGAAACCAAAATCAAAAGAATATATGTACCCCTATGTTCACTGCAGCATCATTTACAATAGCCAAGCTATGGAAGCATCCTGATGTCCATCAACAGACAAGTGGATCAAAAAAAGTAATGGTACCTATATAGAGTAGAATATTATTCAGCCATAAAAAAGAGTGAAATCTTACTATTTGTGACAGCCTGGATGGACCTAGAGAGTATTATACTAAATGAAATGTCGGAGAAAGACATATACTATATGACTTCACTTATACGTGGAATCTAAAGAACAGAATAAATAAACAAACAAAATTAAAACTGACTCATAGACACAGAGAGTAGACTCTGTTGGTTTCCAGAGGAGGTAGGAGTTGGGGGACTGGGTGAAAAATGTAAGGGAGTAAGAAGTACAAAGTGGTAATTAGAAAATAATCACAGGGATATAAAGTAAAGCATAGGGACTATAGTAAATAATATTGTGATAATAATATATGGTGCCAATTGGGTACAAGAAATATTAAGGGGAACACTATGTAAAGTATATGATTGTCTAACCATTAGGCTGTCTACCTGAAACCAATACAAATTAATATTGAAAGTGGACTGCAATTGAAAAAAATTTTATAAATGTCCACTTCCAGAAAATTTAATATGTTATTTTTTAAATAAAAATTCAATTTGCAAACACATTTTCCAGACTGCATCTACTACATAAAGTGATGCCACCTGCTACTTTTTTGTGCCAAGCTAAAAACAGAGCCACTTTGTAGATTAAAGAGCAATGCTTGTCTGTTGCTACATTTTCTCTGTATGAAGTACTTAAGTCAGCAGTATAAACATGTAATAAACTCAGCTACCACAGCCAAATCAGTAATGTGCTAGCCCTTCTCTATTTCTCTCAGAAGAAAGACATCTAGTTTCCATTTATCTGCTC